ACTACTATATAAAAACGTAATTTATAGGAAACGACATCTTATACCTTTTTTGCCGAATCATCCAGTAATAAATTGTTCGGATAATGGTAATAGCGATATAAAGAGTCACGGTGCTGTATCAGCCGCGCCTTTTGGATCATCTGCTATTCTACCAATCTCATGGGCCTACATCAAGATGATGGGTCCGAAAGGCTTACGCAAGGCTACGCAAGTGGCTATTCTCAATGCTAATTACATGAGCAAGAGATTAGAGAAACATTATAAAACATTGTACAAAGGTGAAACTGGGCTGATCGCACATGAATTTATTCTGGATGTAAGAGACTTCAAGAAAACGGCCAACATTGAAGCCGTCGATATTGCGAAAAGATTGATGGATTATGGTTTTCATGCACCGACTATGAGTTGGCCCGTAGCTGGCACCTTGATGATCGAACCGACTGAATCTGAGGATAAGACTGAATTGGACAGATTCTGTGATTCTTTAATCTGTAAGAATTTTAAGAAGTTTAAATATAGTGCTCAAAATATTTTATTGAATATTAACAATCTATTTATGTTTCTCGATAGCCATAAGAAAGGAGATTGCAGACATTGAAGAAGGAAAATTAGATATTGTACAAAATCCTTTAAAAATGGCACCTCACACGCAGGAACAAGTAATAATAACCGAATGGAATCGGCCATATTCGCGAGAGTTAGCAGCTTTTCCTGCTGTAAGTATCTTGTAAATATTATATCAAATATATATTAATTATAGCTTATCATTTTTTTAGATATTTGTCAAAGGGAGCAATAAGATTTGGCCGAGCGTCGGAAGAATAGATGACATATACGGCGATAAGAATCTATTTTGTACGTGCCCGCCTATTTTGCCCACAGAACAATAATTGTGATGTTATATTTATACATTATGTACAGTTGCTTAATTAAATAATGCAGGATTATTTAAATATTTATTATAACTTTTATACAAATATATTATTTATATAAAACATAATGCTGTTTTTTCATCTGTTTACCAGTACATGAAATATAACAAATCTGTATTACATTAAAATATCCAATACACCAATGAACGACGTATGCATTTTTGTCTTCGCGCTCATATAATCTATTTTTAGCATCTAATTTCTCATACAAGTATATTTACATGACTGTGGATAAAATTCTATGTACATATTTTGTACATTATAGACCAGGCATAAGATAAGCAATGTTGTCGAGCATTTGGGAAAGTGTTTCAGGTCTAGCTCCATTAGTTTCTGGCAATTGTTGCGTTAAACAAATTAACGGACCTAAGGCACAGAGCAACGAATCCAATAAAACTGAAAGACTACCGGATACAGCTATTTGACCATCATGTTCCTTCAGACGTTCTCCAATGATTGTTAAGCTTTCACCAAGTAGCTTGAGATGGGCCGCAACATCAATTGGCTGCGTTCCAACGACTTTGTACATTCCCGTGCCTATTACTGGCTCATTAACCAAATCTTTACTGTTGCGATTCGATGGTGGTGAGACTGGAACATTTCCAACAACAGATGGCATGCCAAGTTGAATGGTCTTTTTTGTAGAAGGCTTCGTCTCTTTCCCATTGCCTGAAATATAATGTACAGGAATAATTTGTTAATGTCATACTGAATATTTCATGAATTACATGCATACAAAATAAACCAAGGTATAATAACTACAAAGATCGCAAGACAATATATATTATATATACATATATATGTCCGACTTAATATTTTTGACTAATGCGCATGCACATGGAGAAAAGAGACAGAGATACATAAACTAATACATAACACACGACATACAAATTGCACACTGCCTATGTACAAGAATCAATAAACCCACCAATTTTATTAATGAATTTTTTTCGCGAGGCGGGTGGTGGCATTTTCCAAACAGGTTCGTCTTTATTCGGTAAAGGATGAGGTTTTGCTGCTAAGCGCTTTGCGCGCCTGCGCCAATTATACTTTTCCAGATGTGGTACTGTAGCCCACAGCTCTCCTAATCGCTTAGAAATTGCCGCAAAATCTACAAAAAGCAACGATCAATAAACATCAAAATTACATGCATTCATAGCTTATAGAAGAAAAAAATAAATGTAGCTTAAATACCCATGTAAGGAGATTGCTCTAACAGTTCTTGCCTAATTTTCTTTGCCCATAGCATGTAAGCAGTAAATCTTGTTTTCTAAAAATGTCAAAATATTAAGGCTCTTCTTTGAGATATCATCTTTCTTATTACATACCCCTTTATCCTTGCGCTGTGCCTTCGTCTTGCCTATAATTTTCCCATCCTTAATAATCAACTTTTTCTTACATTTTTCAAGCATATATAAACTATTTGCTTGTGATGGTGTTTCCTGACCTGCTGGTGGTTCTAGTTTCCTAAATCCCATTTCTCTCTCGTCGATCATAAGAGGATCTACTTCGTTGTCGCTTCCAGAGTCCATACTGTATCTCTCATCCTCGTTTATCCCAGAGGGATCATCAGATTCTGAACTGGACGACTGTGCCTCATTATCAGACAATGGATCCATTTTAAGCCTCTGCTGCACATGATTGGAGCCTGAATTCTTTTTCTGCTGTCCAATATTACTTGCCTGGTTAGATTGGATAGGCAAAATCTGTTGTTGCTGTTGTATTTCATACTGATCCAAAAGGTGTTGAGTTTGTAGCTGTTGTGCCTTTTGTCGCTTGAGTTTATTTTCCGTTAAGTCGTCAGGAGACTCAAAGTCAACGAGTTTAGAAGATTTCTTCCTCACACGTCCACTGCGGGAAATACCCGTGACCTCTAGATCTGAAAGATAAAGCAGACTGCACCTTGCCAAAAAAAGGAAAGGGTCCAATGTATTTTGCAATAACTAACTACCAGACTTAAACATTTATAGAGTTCAGGATAGGCACAGTATAGAAATACTACTTCTATGCAGGCTAATGTATCAGCTACTAAAGATGTGGGCAGCCAGTCGCAGTACAACTCGCACTTCACTTTGCTTCGTCTTTTTTCTCTGAGTATTCTGCATTATATTTTTATAAAAGATAATTATTCAATTGATCAAACACTTGATGAGAGCTAGTAATGATTAGATGTAAGCGATTTTAACACATGAATGAAGCTCCAACAGACATTTATATATCTTTTATCTAATTATTTATTTTGTATGTCAAGTATAGGTGACAGATTATGAGATCGTTAAAGCAACATACAAAAATATATGGGATCATTATTGTTCTTTCAAAATCGTAGATTTTGGAAGACGTAGCACACGGCTACGATCGAGGCTGGGATCGATTCGAACGGAATTCTCATTTTTCGATCGTCATCGTGTGGTCGTGTGTACGGCGCAGTTAGTACGGCGATTATCCGCCATATACGCCGAAGCGCTAGCGCCCATATATATGTATAATATAGATATATAGATAGAATGCCACAACGCAAATGAACTGTTGCAGGAGGAACTTCGGGATTTTTCTACGGACGCGCGCACATCATGCGATTCACCGCAAGCGATACCAATGAGCAAGCAAACAGTCTATCCGATGCAGCCGCAACATGGTACAAAAGCCGATTCTCACCGTCGCCTTTTTGAGCGCGTACTCTCGACGATCCGAACACATCCATAGCGTCCTTCCGCTGCCAAGATGCCCGAACGCGCGCGCTGCGCCGCGGCGCACTCTCGGATTTCGCGGGCTCGTGACTCATGGCGCGACGTTCAACCGGCACTTTCTTGCGAGAATACTCCGAAGTAGTATAGATACAGGGCCACCGCGTCCTCGTTACCACCAATTACCGCCACTTCCAACGACACTTTTTTCTCGCAAACCAAAAAAAAAATGCCTTTCGTTCACTTATTAATTTTTTTAAAAACAAATGCCGCCTATCCCCCGAAACACGCGTCGGCGCAGTGTGCGACAATTTCGAATGTTGCCACCTGTGCGAATTCGAATCGTGATGTTCGGAAATAGCAACTAACAATACACATATATATTCTTGTTGCAGTATAAAATTTTTTTCGCTCATTTCGAAACATGAAACGATAATCGGAAAAGGGAGATGAAAAATATTTGCGGAAAATATTGAATTTGCTCGAGGCTATTGTATTGGGGGTATAGGATGCAATTATTGGCCATTTCAGATTCGCGCATTTTTCGTCACTTATGTTAATGCCATTAGTGTCGCCACCTCCCCATAGATTAGTGACGCGCGGCCAACTTCAAGTTGGAACCGGCTCGCGGTACGAAACTTTTGTCTCGCGATCGTGAATATTGATAATCGGGAAGAAGAGGAGGAAATCTGTATGCTAGAGTTAAAGAACTGGATCGAGATCTTCATTTGTCGCATCAAAGTGTAGACTGCTAACAGGTGTGACGAAATTATTATCTATTTCATAACGCGCATTTTTGTAATTTGCGATTAGGAGCATCGCCGCCATTTGCATATTGAGATCGGGAGCGTTTATGCAGTTTCTGGAATATTTTAACGGTCGCGGAATGATTTTTTCCGCGTGTCGCGAAGTATGAAAATTATTAATAAACGAGAACGAGAGAAAGAGATTTATGCTGGAATTAGAAACTGAAGATTAGAAATTCTTACGTTTATCGCGTTACGAAATGGAGTAGACTGTTAACAGGTGTAGACGAAATTATTGTCTATTTCATAATGCACATTTTTGTAATCTGAAAATAATTTTGTAATATGAAAATCATTAATAATTGAGAACGAAAGATTTATACGGGAATTAGAAACTGGATTGAAATCTTCGTTGCATCGAGCAAAGTGGCTGTTAATAGATGTGACAAAATTATTTATTTTATAGCGCGCAATTTTGTAACTTGCGATTAAGAATATCGTCACCATTGCGAATTGAAATCGCGAATCGTTTTAGACAATTTTTATGTTTTAAATTGTGACATGAATAAGTTCACAATTTTTTTAAATAAAATTTATTTTCTAATAGATATTAATTAACTTGATATTTCAGTTGTTCTAACTGAACTAAAAATGAAAGACAATTTTCTAGTCATTAAGAAAACTTACTTATGATATACATATAATCGAACAATTATATTCTATTTATTATTTTATCGGAATTTATCTATAACTCAATTTAATAGAATAATTTGCAGAATAATTTTTTCTTGCAAGTCGTAAAATGTAAACTTCGTCAATAATCGAGCCTAAATTTATGGAAAAATAAATAAGAATATTTATATGAAATTAATTTAATAATTTTTAATGTGATTAATACGATTTAATATTTTATATATATATGTATATGAAATATATATACTACATATGAAAAATGTACATTGACAATACAAACTATTATGCTTTATAAAAGAAAATTCAAATTTTAGAAAAGTATTATCTAAATTTAGAATATATATAATATATATAATTGGAATATATATATATATATATATAGTATATATATATATATATATATATATATATATATATATATATATATACATATATACATATTTCTGGAAAAAAAAGTAAATAGTTGAGAAATCTTATTGTATATCTATGTAATTTGTACAGTAAGGAAAAAACTTATTATTTATGGAAATATTAATGTAACTTTATAAAATTTATCATAATTAAATACTAGATATAACAAAACATTTCCAATTAATTATTACAATAACATTACATAGTGTCTTCTTGCTGCCAGCCATCTTCATCGGATAAATACCTCCTTTTGTAACTTGTTCTCATATAAGGTTTCAGGACCCATTCTGAATCAGCTGCTGATTCAGTATCCAGAGTTCCTAAGTTGATCTTATACAATTTCATTTGGAAACGTGGTCCAATCTCTGTCAATTCGACATTCTTTCCCTGAGTCTTGTAAGTATGATGTCGGAAACATATGTAATCATCATGATTAGCAAAACTAATCACTCTCTTACTATCTTCCTTTGGTACAGGGAACAGATACTTCAATATACTCATCACTCTCTCTCCCAGTTTTGTCTTGAAGTTATGGAAGATTAAATGAGGATACTGCTCTGACATTGTGCCAATATCAGGTATATCATGTCGCATTATGACTCCGGATAATGTGAAATAAGCTGTTGGTCCATATGGCAGGTGACATATTATTATAGCGTCAGGATTACCTCGGTGTTCGTGCACGATAATGAAGTCCGTAACATCGTTAGCGCGGCAAGCATGGATTAATTGCTTCATTTCATAATTACCACGATTCATTCGCTGTGAGTTTGGAAATATCAGACGTAGCTCTTTGACGAACATCTTTAGTCGGGAACTCGGGTCGCGGGATGTCGTGATGACGATCTTCGGATCCTCTACGCCAGCCCAACGATACTCGTCGTCCTCATGGTTGGCCACGGTGCCACCCATCTCTGTACCCATAGCTACTGCCATCTCCGGTCCAGCATCTTCCCATTCGATTTTTCTTTGTATATGCAATGCATTTTTTCTGAGATCCGGATGGATTACTACGTTTTCTTCCAAGCTATGCTTCACCTTATCCTTCTTGTCTTGAATAGCTTTTACCTTCTCCTGCACGGATTTCCGATAGAGATATTCTCGACGCAATCGTGCTTGTCTTCGTAACATTATTTCTATTTAAAGTTGTACGTGTCAATTATTATAAAAGCTTCTCGTAATTGTTTATCTGAAGTAGCGTGTTTAATAATAGTAACGCGGTTCACTTGGAGGTTATGTTTATGATGCCATGTGGTAAAGCCATGAGATTAAAGTCTACATCACTGTATTCATTAGCGATGTGTCGTTAAAGCTGATTGGTCAGCTAGATTTGTCCAAAATCATGTTTATCTATTCATCATGCTTTTTTTCTATTAACTTCTTTGGAAAAAAGAGGATTTTAATTTTTTTAAAAAGAAATAGTAATATAATCGAGAGAAACGGTATAAATTAATTGTATATTTTCTAATTGCACAAAATAACTATCAATAATTATCAATAAATTTCTACATAATAATTTTAATTTTTGAACACTTATATTTTAATACTAAATTTTTGCTAAATGTCTATTAGTAAAAGATAACAAATTTCAAATTATTTTTATCGTAATTTATATATATATATATATATATATATATATATATAAATTATATATGTGTATCTTTTCAGTAAATTTTTTTTTAAATCATAATGAAAAAGATTTAAAAAAATAATTCTTTTTTTTTTAATGATTTAATAGCATAAAATGTCCCAAAATTATTCAGAATACTCTGAGTATTTTAGATAACCTGGATTCAGTAACCTGGATTCAGTAACCTGGATTCATAATTTCAAGATATTTTGTGCTGGGAAAAAATTACAAATTAGAATTAATTAATAATATTTAGAAATTGTTTAAAATTTAATTTAATAGCTCGAATATTTGTTTAATATGATCTTTTGCATTATTATATTATACTTAATATCATGTTTTAGTTAGATTTATTCTGTTCTTTATGTTTTCTTTTTTATCCTTATAATCTTCTAAAAGATTCTACGAATTAAAGATTCATCTCTGTTTGAGAAAGAAAGTTACAATCATTAATTTTTTAAACATTCTTTAAATTTCTTGTACTTCTCGTGTATTTTTGTGTTGTTAAAGGTTATTCTTGTATGTATCGTAATGTGCACTTTACAAGAGAATGCAATACAGCGCGTTGCAGAAATCAGCCTGTTTCCCCACGCGCGGTGTTCGATTTGGATGTGTTATTTTGTGTAACCACCTGAGTGCAGCCAATCACGCATGAAAGTAACAATGAATAGCATCGAAATAGGCGGATAGACAGCCAGACCGGTCATTTTGTCCGGTGCGTTCGAGTATCTGTGTATGCATGTATGCGTGAGTGTGTTTCTCTCCGTGTGTATACACGCGCGGTTCACCGGAGTCCATGCCTTAGGCATCCTCTTCCGCATTTCATGTCGTCGGAAGAGGAAAAATTCCTCGGAACATTCTGTCGGTTATATACAAGGAGTAAAGAATGTTTTCGTTGATTCTCACTTCAAACGTAAATTGAGTAAAACACAGTTCCATTGTCACTGCGTTATTTTTCAATGACGCACTATTTTTTAAATTTGCGATCGGCGATGATTGAACGCATTGAGACAATTTCAGAATTACTTTGATGTGAAAAAATGTGAATGAATTCTTGCAGATTAAATTTTATTTTATAAGTGGAATAGATCAAATTTTATCTCTTATTTAATTAAAATCGATTTGTAGTCTGAAAATTCATTACATCGATACTTAAATAATATTAAAAATGTGCATTGTTTTCTAAGTGTTGGCTAAGCTCATTCAAGAATGAAGAAGAAACTTTTAAATAAATATCGAATCACGAAATCTATGATGTCGCGATGAATAGTCCTGCCGTCGCGAATTGTTCATGTGTAGAGGAACTCGATTCGCGTTACGCGTTTTCCACAACAACGTGTATATAACGATGTCAGCGCGTCGGGCAATGCCGGTCAGTCCGTATTATAGCAATTCAATAATAAATTGTAGAACGGCTCGGTCGCCGCATTATGCGCCGGTAATCACAGTAATAAGCAGTTCTAAAAGTAATGTAAGTACGTTGTAGGTAGTAACGAGTAGAGCCATAATCTTGGGGGATGCCTCCTCTGCGTTCGTAGCAAGGTTGAGGAGAGAAATCGAGGGCTGAAACAGTAGGGGGAGGGAAGGGGAGGAGGAGAATACGAGGGAGATGAGACAGAGAGAGAAAGAGAGCCCATGGGCGTCATCCTCGCTACGTTCCTGAATCGGCATAATTTACAGCCCTGTCCGAGCAAATTGAGCACGTTTATGCAAAAGGGACGACATAAAGCACGATCGACGTGACGACGATCAACTGAAACCGGACTCGGCTGTGCCGCCGCTTTTCCTTCCGGCGAAGGAAGCGTTTTGCTCTCACTCTCTCGTCAATGATTTTGCCACCGACGACGATACTGATAATATTGACATTGATAATTCTCGACCGTCTTCGACTAATTTCGCATTTGTCTTATTCCATCTTTTGTTCATCATTCGAGAATTTTTTTAATCTTTAACTTTTCTTATTTTTATGCCGATGTTTTTTAAACAAAGGAAACGGTTACATAGACTGGAATAAATATTTCATTATCTTATGATTTTACAAATTTTGTGTATACTTTGATATAATTTTACGCATGATATATAGAGCATATATATTTGCTATGTATATACTTTTTAAAATTTTTCTTTTTTAGGAGCACGTCACAAAGCATAGCTGTCATGATCGTCTTATTTTAGGATTTACTTGGAATGAAAGCACTTGTGAATCAGATTTCGCGTGGTCGTGGATTTCGAATACGAATGGAATTTTGATTTTACATCATCATCAATCGAATATTTTTTATTAAGTTGCAAATATGACATGAAAAAATTAATCTTAAATAAAAAAATATTCTCATATACAAAAATATTATAATTTCTTAAAAATTTTTTACTTAAAAATTTTAGTCTTGATTTGATTAAACTTGTATCGATGCAAGTATTATTTTTGTTAAACTCAAGGTTAAAAATCTTCTATGAAAACTATAATGACTTATATGAAGATAATTATAATATTCTTGCTTACATATGAGAGTATCTATACTAAAATTTTTTTAAGTTTATTCTTGTTTAATTTGAGAATATATAGTCTTGATTTAAAGCTAATTTTTTTTCTGTGGACGGAGAGAAAATCGGATTAGAGATTGACGGCGAGCCACGCGTATGTACGCCTATGAGACGGATATGCGGGGACTACGTTGTACGTACCCGTTAAGCCAACATCTAATTCGATAACTGGCGAAAATAATAATGTAGCGATCTGTTGCGTTCGCGGCGCGCAATCATCCGTTTCGTACCGTGTGTCCGCGAAGAACTATAAGATCGAAGGCGCTTCTCTCCCGGGGATATTTTGTTGCTCGTACGGGAATAATAATCGCTACCACCTGCCGTACACAAATACGAAAATACTTGGAATCATCGAGCGATCATGACAATTTTATCATCAGACACTTGCAGATGTTTGATTTTTATATTCGATGAAACTTGCAATGTACGAGGGGAAAAAAGACATACATACTTACGAATGAATGAACGCGGAGAAATATTATATATTTTTTTTAAAGAGATTCTACTAGTTTTATAACAATTGAAAATCAAACGATTCCCAACTTGCCACTCGTCCGGTCGTCGTTTAAACGAATCAGATAATTTTTCGGGCGCGCCAAAAGAACGAACGGTAGCGGTTTATAACGAGGCGACTGTTGACTACCTCGGTAGCAAGGATGACACTTATTAAAAGTTTCGGTCCCGAGGTGCACACGAGGTGCATCGATCTTTCTCGTCTCTCTCATATCTTCTCGCACGAGCGCGACGCTGCCTTGTTACCCGTCCACGAGAAATACCGAACAGTTTAATAAGCAAGAACGGTGGCGACGATATACCGCGATACAAGATACCGCGAGTACCATCCATCACGCGATGTGAATCGCCATCGTGCTCGTCTCTTAGGCGTTTCGGTATGTCCGAGACACCCGACCCGTCTATGATCTCCCGTTCGTCTCTAAAGACCCACGGATCTCCGGATCTTCCTAACTGCCGTTATTTTTCAAACGTCACCGCGTCACGCTAGGTAAAATTGTCGCGACGAGTGGGCACGATAAAAAAAAAAAAAAAAAAAAGAAATTATTAAATTCATTGTGGCCGGTTTAATGCGCCAGGCGATAACGAAAGCTTAGGTCGGTGCTCGCCATCGACCCGCCGTCATCCTGGCGAGGAGGTCGCGTGCAAAAAATACGTTAATTCCGCGTAGCTTGCATGACCGTGCAAATAAATAAAACGGCAAACACACATCGCGGCCTGCCTCGGTACCGTATTTTATATTTTATCCGGTTCGAATGATTGATTGCGCTCCGCTACCGGGGGCTGAGTCCCGGACACGATAGCATCTCGCGAAATGCCCCCGGTCGCCCGACTGTACTTGTCGTTTCACGCATTGTTTATTATTGTCCGATGGTTTTATCACGATCGTCGGTATAGGGGAGCCGGGGCGCGAGGGGGAGGAGAAAAAACTGGGATAACGATTCCTTCACCGATGTATTTTCGGGATGTGAGAGGACGAGCCACGAGAGAGCGTGTCGACGCGTGTTGCGTCGTTGCGCCAACGATTCCGATGTAATTAGACTAGTACAATTTACGGCTGTGATGATACACGACTAGGAGAGAAATAATCGCGCGATTATTGCCAGTGCGATGCGAACCGAAAGTTTTCAGTTTTTTGGCATGAACCGGAGTAAAAGAGGCAACGATCCCTATATACGTGAGGAAGATAGTAATTACAGAAGCGGGACTGAAAACGCGGGGCTCCATCAGACCCTGCGAGGCACGATCCTCGATAAGTATAGTTGTTTCAGGATCGCGTCGATGCCTCCTCTACTCCCGCTATCTCATTTTATTGGTACAGGTTATGTGAAAAATTTATTGGCTCCGACAAGCAAGCGCGAACGTACGTTGGGATGCGAACAATTTCGTCACCGATCAATTCGGCCGGTCCCGAAAGCTTTGAAAATTTTATTTCCGAAAGTTTCCCCCTTTCGAATTTGAAAACTATGCTGGTACCGCGTATCTCTCGCACGGATCATTTCCACCGAGGATTAAATAATTCATATTTCATTTAATTCTTCTGACGGTGTCACGACTGAATTAAATT